AAAGGGTCCAGACCCGAAACATCAGCTTTCCTGCTCCTCTGATACTGCCTGGCCTGCTGTGTTCATCCAGCTCTACACCTTGTTATCTTCTTTAGTTATAGCTGGTTTTATTGTTTTAAGTTAATTAAGTTGTTGATTTCTTGGGAGATAATGCCAATTGATGACAAGTATTGAGACCCTAATATTAAAAAAAACTCACCAGTTATGTGCTACGTAAAGGTTATCAGTTTTGCTATTAGAGCTTGCTGAATTTTTTCAGAGGGTGAAGCTCAATCTGAAGAACCATGTGATGGAATAAATTCACATGTCATTATACAGAAAAGAATACCATTTGTTTTCAAAATCTACAAAGGCAATGAATTCATTTGATTAATTGTTTTTTTCAATATCACAATTTAACATGTGAATCAGCCTCAAAATATTTGTTTTAAAAAAGGCATAAGCAAGGGACTTTTAAGATTTGTTCTCATTTGGGGTTTTGATGTCATGTCCAGAAATTTTGATCTTTTTCAAATATTCTATAGATCTCATATCTTAACTTCACCTCAAGCCAGCACTGAGACATTTTTACTGAATATAACTTTTGTGAGCGTGGGAATGTAGATACTGGTTGGGTTCTAAGCTAGTTTAACGAGTGTTAAATAAAGCCTTGTTCTGAGTGAAGGTCTCCAACATACCACCTTTTGTTTTGAGGGGAAGAAATTAATTTTCAAAAAAACAATCTTGACCAAATTGAATTGAAACAAGACTGGGTAGTTTTATGTATTTTATGGTGTTGAATGCAGAGTGCAGTGTTTATATTTTTTCTGCATTGTTCAAAAAGAGCCTAATGTTACTATTCAATCATGCTTACCATATTGGACAATTTTTTCAGTTGATTTCCTCAGTTTTGTTTGCATGCCTGCTCTGACTGCTTTCCCCCTATCTAAGGTGTGTGTGAACCTTGCATTGTTACAGCAAATGTTTTATTAACGGCTCAATTTTTTTTGGAATATGTTTTGAATTTTGAATTGCCCAAATCATGAAATTGTGTAGTATTTAGAATATGGAAACAGGTTGTTGGGTTAAGGTATTTTATATTGATTGTTTATCGTTCAAATAGCAGTAGTCCAAATTCCTTGCCCTCACTCTTGTCTATCGTCAAGAAAACTCTGCTTTCCATTAGAATATACAGATCACATTATGACTAACTTGATTGAATCCCCTGAATGAGTATTCCATTAATATTTGCTTTTTGACAAGTATTCAAAACAGATAAAGTCAGCACCATAAATTGGCCACAAGAATCTGTTGTCTCACCCAGCTTATCTGTGGCACATACGTTAGATCTCAGAGAATAATGCCATGATTTTAGTGTTGGATTTATCCTGGCATTTAATCAATATAAATTATCTGTTTTTAATTGTAAATCAAATATATTAAAAATATATTGTGATGATGATTAACGTAAGTTAAAGTACTTTCTAATAACTTCAATCTGTTTTATTATTTGAACAGATAACTGTGAGAAGAGGCCACCTGAAATAGCTATGCAGGAAAGTTTGAAGCCTACCTGTGTTTGGAATGTAAAGGAAAGCAGTGAAGTATTTGTAGGTTTGTGTCGTTGCCACTGTGCAAAAGTGAATAACACATAATTGAAATAATAGGTGATAGCTGTGCTCGTAGGTTTTGTGTTCTTCGTTTGTCCATGCATACAAATGGTTTGTTCTAGATCAGCGCCTCAACTTTTGTGCCTCTACCTTTTTCAAGATTACTTTAGGTTAAATTAGACAAGTATAAAATTAATCTTGATTAAAATTAGAGGACGAGGGAAGCCGTTTGACCCAGTGTCATAAATAGTTCCATACTGGAGCACTTTTCTTAAAACAAAAAAAGTTTTTTTTATTGCAGCTCCTCTTTATTTTTTTTCCCAATATATTACCTTTTAAGTGTTATGATTGACTCTGCTTCATTAACTGGTTGCAGTCGTGCATTCTATCTTAATATGCTTTTCATGGAACTGTTATTTCTAAATTATATTTCCAATTTTTCTTTCCTACTACACTCCACGTATTTGGAAAAATACTGTATTAAACTACATTTGTCATTTCCCTAACATGAGACCTCCTGCCTTTATTGTCATTGATAGTGGGATGTGTATGCAGCAAATCAATGTCACTGTGAAGCAGAATGAGAGTGTGCAGCAAGTCAGCATCTCTGAAGCAGACAGGGAAAGCAGACCTATGTGAAAAATTTAGGATGGCTTAATTAGAATCATGCTGGGAAGTGTGTCCAGACAAATTGTATAACCAGGGTTGTAGCTAGATCTTTAAGCTAATTAATGGGAAGAAGGATTCAATTCAAGGCAAGTTTTAAAAAATCAAAAGAAACTATCGAACAGAGATGCAGGGAAATGGTAATGAAAGGGTCATACAAAAGGGTAGAAAAGTGCAGTATAGTTAGATTGAGAATAAGTGGTAACGATAAAAAGTCTTGTAACAAGATAGATGAATGGACCGCTCAAATAGAAATAAAGACAGACAGAAATTGTTTGAGAAACTGAACAGGTCTGGCAGTACTTGTGGAAGAAAGCAAGAGTTAACATTTTTTGAGTCCAGTGATCCTTCTTTAGAAGCGTTCTAAAGAACGGTCTCTGAACTTGAAATGTTAACTCCATTTTCTCTGCACAATTGCTGCCAGTCCTGTGAGTTTCTCTAGCAGTTTCTGCTTTTGTTTGTTTCAGATCTCCAGCATCCAAAGTTCTTTGCTGTACAAACAATATTTAGACATTTAGAAAAGCTTAACATAATCAAAACAGTGTTGACATGGCTTTGTGAAAGGGAAATTAAGGAAATTAAGGAAAAACAAGTTTGGTAGAGTTGTTTGAGGATATAACAAGCAGAATTGATTTAAGGGAACCAATAGATATAGTTTTATTTTGAGTTCCAAAAGGCGTTTGATAAGGGGCTGCATAAAAGGTTATTAAACAAGCTAGGAGCTCACATTATTGGGGGTAATGTATTGCCATGGATTGAAGTTTGATTAACACACATAAGACAGAATTGGGATAATTTTTTGTTCGGGTTGGAAAAATGTAACTTTTCGAGTGCCACAAGGAACAGGCCTAGGGCCTCAATTTTTACTATCTATATTAATGACTTGGAAGAGGGGCCAAAGTGTTATGTATCCACATATGCTGGTGATGCAAAAATAGCTGAGAGGACATGTGGTGATGAAAACATGACAAATTTCCAAGAGGACATGGTTTCAATGGGCAGGCAAAATGTTGGCAAATGAGGTTTTGCATTTCAGTAGGTAGACTGAAAAGGTAGCCCATATTTAAATAAACACACTGTGGGAAATGCAGAACAGAATGATCTGGGTGTTTTTGTGCATGAAACACAAAAATGTTTGCATGAGGGTGCTGTAGATAATTAAGGCAAATTGAATTTTGACCTTTATTGCCAAGGGCTTGGAGGTTTTTTTATTCGCTCGTGAGACAAGGGCATTGCTGACTCGGCCAGTTTTTGTTTTTTAAAATGCAGACCATAAGGATGCTCTCTTGTCAGAGAGGGACGAATCGTGATGGTGTAACCTGAGGGTTACTATGTCTTGGGCAAAAGGAGAGGTTGAGAGGGGGAGTCCTTCATGGTAACCTCAGCCATATTGTAGCATCAGTGTGCATCCTAAACCAACCATCCAGCTAACTGGCTCATTCAGCCATAGTAGGATTCGAACCCAGGGCCTGAGACCATGACCTGAGTCTGTAGATTTAACAGGCTAGTGATAATATCACTAGGCACCTATCTTTAGTTGCCCTTGAGAAGGTGATGGTGAGCTGCTGCCTTGAACTGCTGCAGCCTGTTTGCTGTGCATAATCTCAATGCTGTAAGAGAAGGCATTCCAGGATTTTGATTCAGCAGTACTGAAAGAACAGCAAGACATTCCTTAGTTAGGATGGCAAGTGGCCTGGGAGGGAAACTTGCAGATAATGGTGTTCCTGTGTATCTACTGCTCTTATCCTTTTAGATGGAGGTGCTTTTGGGTTTGGAAAATACCATCTAAAGATCTTTGGTGAATTTCTGCACAGCGTCTTGCAGATGACACATAACTGCTGCTGCTGAGCAATGATGGTGGAGGGAGCGGATGTTTGTCGATGTGCTGCTGATAAGCAGGCTACTTTGTTTTGCATGGTGTCAAGTTCCTTGTGCATTAGAGCTGCATTCATCCAGGCAAGTGGGAAGTTTAAAAATGATACAACTATACAGGATGATCGTGGTGAGGCTGCATCTGCAGTACTGTGTACAGTTTTGATACCTATATCTAAGAAAGGATATATTGATATTGGAGGCAGTTGAAAGGAGATTCATTAGGCTAATTCCTAGGAATTGATTTATCAGACTGGCTAAACAGGTTAGGCCTTTATCATTTTCAAAGATGAACTTATTGAAACATGCATGATTCTGTGGGAGCTTGACAGCATAGATATTGAAAAGATTGTTCACTTGTGGGAGAATCTCAAAATAGGGGACATAGTTGCAGAATATGGGGATTTGTTTAAAACTGAGATGGAAGGGAATTCCTTCTCGCGGAGGGTAATGATTGTCTGGAATTCTCTACAGCAAAGAGTTTTGCAGGCTAGATAACTGAAAATATTTAAAGAGGAAGTAGATTTTTTTTTTAAAATTGCAGGTGTTAAGGGTTATGAGGAACTGGAATGAAAGAGGTATTAATGCCTGGCACAGATCAGAATTATCTAATCAAATGTTATAATAGATTTGAGGGGCTGAATGGCTGCTCATTCTGCTTTTTCCTATGTTCTGATGTCATTATTTGCTAAGCTTCCTTTTTCCATGTTTGTCAGCAAACCATGATATTTCCCACATATCCAGTTTAGGCCTACAAAGAACGAGTGAGATTTTGAAAACGCTGTGAGGGGTGTATCATTAACTGAAATTTGTCAGTCTGAGAATAGCTATAGATTTATACACTCATTGCCATTTTTAGCAAATCCTCTTTTGTTTTTATTGTCACATCACCTTCACAATTATGGGCCTTCATCTTGGTAACAGATTTCTTTTATGTGGCATGCTATAAAAACATTATGAAAGTCCAATAATACCACATTCTTTAAAAATATGTTTCTCCTGGATTGTTTGATGCTGTTATTATTTCTTAATAGTATCCTTCAATATTTTGCTACTGTTGATTTCAGACTAATGTGTACAGTTAGCTAGCTGACCCCTTCTCTGATTTTAAATGTGTGCGTCCCTCAGCCAGTTGTTTGGAATAATTCTTGTTCTTGGAATTTTTTTATAGAATCTGACTTGTGCTACTTTTTTTCACCAACTACCATTAAGCTTTCACAGTGTCGACCCCACTGGGCCGGATGATGTACTATCTTCAAGTTAGGTTAACTATTTGAAATCTGCAGGCAGTAATGTGCATTCCAAGACTCAAAACTGACTTTGTAAATGAGACACAATAAATGTTTATTTTCCAGTTCTGAAAGAACACAAAATAAACAAACACATAACAAAATTTTAAGTAGATATGCATTTCTTTGGTAAGTTTATTCAATTTGGACATTTTATTTGGTTTTGGCTTTTATCAGGTATAGTGTGGCTGAGAGAAACCGTACAAAAACTGCAAGTACAAAGCAGATAATTAATATTTAAAATAATGTGTTGCAAATGGATTTGGGCAAAAGTAGTAGGTCAGTGTTTTTTGTATTTTGTATTGGTTATTTTTAAGTCCGTTTAATTTGCAGTGCACACCTTTTAATCCTTGATTTTTTTTTCACTTTCAGACTGTGTTAAGACTTCAGATATGTGTGATTTCTTCTATCCCTTAAAGACAGTGTATGAAGATAATAGGTCCATTGCCATCTGCAAAAGCTTAAATTCACAGACATTTTCTTGTGGCAAACTAGTGCTGGGACCATACAAAGAAAAGGGATGTCAAATGGTTTATAAAGATACTATGGTAAATATGTTTTCCCATATATCGATTCATTCTTCAGAGAAACCTTTGGGATGTTATATTTTAAATGCCAATACAATGCTTTTGTTAATTTTAACATTTTGAGTAACTTGAGTCCTTTTTATATACTTGTACTCCGTTTTTTTTTAAAGAAACCTGAAAGTTCTGTTTGGCACCCCTTTCCTCTGCTGCCTGATTTCCCGAAATGTCTGCTTCAAAGTCTTATCCTTCACTTGCCAGCCTGATGATTTAAGATCTGCGTGTCATACTCTTCATAACCTTTAGATATTCGTCCTTCTGATATGCCTTTCAAATCTATTGTTTTCCGTTTTACTTCTTTTCATTACAAGCCTCCTTCAAAGTACTCCATTTGTAGATTTCTCCTTTTGTGAAAAGATTCCTAAGCTTAATGGATAGGGAGAGACCCTCAATGGCTTCCGAATGTGGGACCTGCGGGGATGGATGCTGCGGAGTTAAAACTGCAACTCCTTCCCAGTATCCACACTTGGCAAACTTGTCAGGTCAATGTCAAGGTCATTGTTTCTGTTTCTGAGCTCTACACTTGAGGAGCATTGCAAAAGCATTAAATTGTGTAGAGGAGATTTAAAAGAATGGTTTCCGGAAAAAGGGACCTTAGCTGTGTGAAAAGTTGAAGAAGCTGCGGTTTCTGTGCTTTGATTAGAGAGTATTCTGATGAGATTTGATACAGATGTCCAAAATCATGAGTAACATTGAATAAATAGGAAATATTTCTGATGCCAGAAAGGTCAGTAATGAGAAGTTACAGTGCAATGCTTGGAAAAAGAATTAAAGGTGATATGAGGATTTTTTTTCTTTCAACCGATAAGTTATTGTGATCTTGAATGTGTGGTCTGAAAGGATGATGGAACTAAATTCCATATTTTGCAAAAGAAAATTTGGATGAATGCACAGCGGGGGATAAAATAGATGGCTATGGGGAAAGAATAAGGGAGGGTCATTAATTGCAAGCTTTACTGAAGAGCTAGTACGTGGATAATGCGCTCTGTTGTCCCTTGATGCTTATCGTATTATGAGTTGCAATACAAAAAATATGACTCACTCTCTTTAAAAAAAAGTGTGAAACGTTTGGTATTCATTGTCACAAAAATCATTGAGATGTGAGTCATACTATCAAAATAAATCCCACTCACTATCTGACCATGGTTATCTTTGTCTGGAATTTGTGGTCAGTGGCTAAGCAAGGGTACTGTCTGCTATCCTTGGAGGAAACTGCCCAGAAAGATTTTTGCTTTTTTACTCCCTTGTGATAAATTAAATCTGGTGTCAAGTTATGGGGATGCCTTGGTGTGCAGCAACATTGTCAGTAAGAAAGGAGGAACCAACCACACTGAAGTATTTACACACCGTAAGCTTCGAACCTAAAAGTACTCCATCTTCTCTCTTTTCCCCCCTCCCTTCTCTCTACATCTCTCTCCCTTTCCTCCCTGATTTTAGTTTTGAACTTCTCAGTTTTCCTGTCTGGATCTGATATTTAGGACATTTGAGCTGTTTTATGGTTCCTGGCTGTTTAAATAGACATTAATGCTATATATTGCTTTCCAATTTTTTATAGTATTGAACAGTGAAATCCATTCTATTTTAGCTGGTTCAAATCCACTACTTGACAGGGTGGAAGTACAACGGTTGTTTCCCCTTGTGGGAGAATTTAGAATCAGATGGCTTAATCTTAGAATAAGGGTTGGCAAGTTTAACACAGTGATTAGGAGTAATTTCTTTTCTGCAAGTAGTGAATCTGTGGCATTCTTCACAGAGGGCTGTCAATCCTGGGTCATTAGGCATATTTAAGGCTGAGACAGATTTTTAATCAGTCAGGGAGTTGAGGGATATGGGGAAAGGCAGGAAAATGTAGTTTGGAATTCTCAGCTCAACTGTGATCTCATTGAATAGCTGAGCAGACTCGATGGGCTGAATGACCTACTTCTGCTCCTACGTCGTACGGTGTTAATTTCTGATTTAATAGGGAGACAGCTTACTTTTAAAATGTGTTTCTTAGTTTTAGTCTCTCCAACAAGAAAAAATGATTGCCTAGTATTCACCATGTCAGATACCCTGAGGATGTGCACATAAACTTTCCAAAACCCACTTCTTGTCTTTTAGATTGAAGAAGTTACCATTTAACTTTGTCAACTTCTTTTTCACATTAGAAGAATCCTGCATGTGGCTTTTTATGTAAAACCTAGTTTGTTTTTGATGGACATTAGTTGTTTTACAGGTATTTCATATCCTAAAAGGAGATCTAGGTGTTACAATATACCGTACCACATACCATCTCAAAGAGGGGGATTACTTCTTTGTGCCTTCAGGTAAATGTTCTTTTACCTTTTTTTGTTTTTATTTGCTGCTAAATTTATGCTTTGTGAGCAGCTGCAGTATTTCACTTTGGATTCATTTGCCAGTATATGGCAGGCATAAAAATATGCAAAAATTGACAGCTTCTGGTCAGTAAGCACTCTGAATCCACCTGGATGCACGTCTAAATGCCAGCATAAATCCTGATTCCTTATAGTGAAGGGATTACATATTTCACCAAGGAAATCGAACAGCTGGAGAGACGCTAAAGCACAAAATTGATTTTATAGGATTGTAATTGCAAGTGAGATTTGTCAAAAATTCTTTCAATAGCCAAGTTAATTGAGCATTTCAACACAGTTCATGAGCATATTCCTCATTAGCGCACAGGGTTTCAAAAGCGCATGCTGATGAGATTAAATGGCCCCAGTAATTAAAAGATGAAAGACAGGCAATAAGATGGCTGACAGACCTGGGGCATTTTGTAATTTTCAAAATGTATTGTCTTTAACATAGAATTAAAATAATTAAATTATTACTTAAATAGTTTTTATTTCCCCTGTTATAGGTAACACATACAATGTTACAAATCTTCAGGATACTGAGGCTGTTCTGCTTTTCACACAATTGAAAGGATCCAAGATGGATTAACAAGTTTTGTAAGGAGCTGTTTTGGGACACTGCTATACTTTGTAAATTTGTAATTGTAGTGTTTTAGAATAGTTTTGACCATTTGGAATAGTTAAAACTTTAATGTTTTTTTATGAACCACTGTTTGTTTTCTTATGAAATATGAGGAATATTGGGCTTTGGAAATTGTGTTCAGTGCAGTTAATGTTCCTGAGCATACAGCTTGATATCGTCATAATAAAGCTTCTCTAGTTTTTTACCATTTATTAGAGCAGTTTTGAATATTTTTGGAATAGTTAAGATGTTTGCTTTTCGTTAAGAATTAATCTGCTGTTATGCAACATGCTGCTTTGAGCATTTATATCTGTATATTTGAACTTGATGTATTGACTGGTAAACATGATACGTAATGGAACATATTCTGCAATTGTGTAATTCGATATTTTAGTTCTCAAATTTTTGTAAACAAAGGTGAAGAAACAGTGTTCACCAAAGGCAGCTTCATGACAAAATACATTTGTTTATGGCAACAGGGATGATATGTACCAAGTAAACCATAAATTCTTGCTCGTGTGCTGGTTACGATTAACGTGCTTGGAACTATGCATTTCATGTCATTGCTTCGTCATCACATTGGAGTTCTGAATCTTGGTTAAACAATGCTAGTGAAGAGAGAGAAGAGAAATTAAATGAAAGTGACCTTTCACTCCTTGTCCTTGAGATTGAATGCAGTCCATTTTAATAGAGAAGTCTCTTCTGTCCATTAGCTCTGTTGATTGTCTTTGAAAAGTTTGGATATTTTCTTCACAGTCTGTGCTAGGCATTAACCAGCAACAGTAAATGATCCATGATTTCGTACCACATCAATGATTCTTTTAACTGTGTTTATCACTATGAAGGGGTACTTGTCATCAAAAATAGAAACAGTCTCCCAACTTAGATGCGCCTAGTTCAGTTTTAGTTCGATTAGCTGTGGAGCAAGATTTGATCAATATGTTTTAATCACAAAGTTTCAATAAGTGTGCAATGCTGGAGAATAGTGTTGTTTCCTTGTCTCAATCCAGCATAATGTGACCCTTCCAAGTGAGATTACCTGCTTAGTTTCAGTTATGGGTTGTTGTCCAATGTTTAAGATTACCCAATTAATTTTACACAGCCTTAGAATGTGACAGTGAAGATTTTTATTTTGTCAGCATTAACAACTGCAGCATACTAATTGCAAGAGGCATTTATCTATCTAAAATTGTTTATGCTAGGTGTGACACATTTTAGGTAGCAATAGTATATTCAGGTATAGCTAATTAGTTTAGAAGTGCTTTGGAACTCCATGGGCATGTGGAAAGGCAATAAAAAAGTGTGAATTCCTTTGTTTTCTCCCTTGGTTTCTGTTTCTCTTTCCCACTAATATTGGTAATACAGCAAACTTTTTTACTAACTGGCACCTATAGGACCATAAGTGTGCTGGTTGATCAAATATTCCATATAATCAAGAGGTCCATGTAATCAATGTAACACAGTCAGTAATAGAAACGTATTGTTGTTATATTTTATTTATAGCATAAATCATTTAAATAATAATGCAACTTTGTCTTAAATAAAACTTACCGGCAGAAAGCCTTCTCACTCTCACCCTCAACTGACTACTCAGACGTCCTATTTAGATCGCAGTATTCAAGGAGAAATTAACTTGAAAATGAATCAACCATTGATGTTGTATGTGGCCACTTGATTGAACAACAATTATATTTACACTGAGGTCAATAAATTAAAACTCTAATAATTGGACAGAATAACACAGTAAACTTCCCCGTATTTGAGGTTCCTAATTTTTGCTATTTTATCTAGCATGCCAATTCATAAGACGCCAGTTAAAGTAGAATTTGCTGTATAACTCCATTTCTTCGATCTTTGTTACTCATGGTATAGATTCTGTACTTTGTTCCCAATTTTATATCTACTGATCAAGAAGCAAATCTAACCCAACTTTTTCCTTCATTGCATGTGATGTAGTTTGCAAATGTAAAGAAATTCTATGCAGAAAGTATTTGTAAACCTTTGCTTATTTTTGTAACAGCCAGTAAATTCATTGTATTGTAAAGAAATTGTTTTATTTGAAAAATGGATGTTTGATGTGCAAGTATTTAACTAAGGTGCAAAGATGTTGAAGCATTTGTATGTGTGTGTATATATAAAAAGAACGTCAGCACATCTAGCGAAAGTTAGAAAGGATGCCATTTTTCCCCAGAGTACCTTGTCTTAAACAAAACATGTACATTTGGAAATAAAAGATCATGTGATTTCTCTATGCTGACTCCCATAATTACTTTATTATTGTGATGTTGCATAATTTTGGGATTTTTGGAATTTCTTCACCATCTCTGTATGCCTTTGTAATGTCATGTATTTTGTTTGAGGTGGAGGAAGAAGAATTTGTTGTATTCATGAGTGAAAACTAAGCAGGAGATAATGGAACTGACAACTTCTCCCATATATGCCATCTTGTCCAGTGAGCACAAATGTTGATCTAAAGTCCTCAGTGAACCTTAGTTTATTCAAAATTTTATTTTGAAAATTGGCTACAGTTTTTATTAAGAAAATTATCTTCTATTAAGTTAGTTAGAAATGTCACTGATGACACAATTCTACCTCACTACCACCTTCCAGCTTCCCCACTATCGCTCAGTTAATAGACTGGTTATCTGCCATCCAATATTGGATGAACAGAACTTTCCTTCCTTTTACATGTTGGGAATCTGAATTCATTGCTTTTGTTCCCCTGTCTAAACTCTCACTACCAACTCTAGTCCCTCTCCTTGGCAACTGTCAGAGACTAAACCAGATTACTATGAGCATTAATGTTGCTTGACCCTAAGATGTGCTTCCAACTGTACATTCCAACCATTGCTAAGATTGCACCTAATTCTATGGATGACTTCACCCCTGCTTAAGTTAATCTGCTCCTTAAACTTTCTTTTATGTCTATCCAAAGGATGTCTAACTGGTCTCCTATAACCTACTGTCTATAGACATTCGTCATCCAAAGCTCTGTGCACATCCTTACTCATCCCAAGTCCCTGTTTACCTGTCACTGCTGCCTGTGTTACCTTAGTTCCCAGTTGTGGAACATGTTGATTTTAGAATTCTCACTTGAACCTCACATCGTCTTGTACCTCCAATTTTTGTAGCCTCCTCCAGTCTTACAAATCTCCAAGATATCTATGCGTATCTCATTTTGGCCTCGTGAGTGCCCCCAATTTTAGTAATTCCATTGGTAGCAGCACCCTAAGATATTTAAGCTAAAAGCTCTGGATGTCCCCCTACTAAAACTTTCCACCTTTTGCCTAGCCGCCTCCTTTTCTAGATATTTCTTAAAACCCAAGTTTGGGTTATCTCACCTTGTATTTCCTTTTGTAGCTTGGTGTCATTTTATGCTTCTGTGAAGTATTGTGGGAAACTTACCACATTTAATTTGCTAGATAAATACAAATTGATGTTGGAATTGCTATGTCCCTCAACATGAAAAGCCTAGGTACTGAGCAGCTTTCACCTTTGGCAGCCATCTCTTTGATATCCTGATTATGTTGTGCTCAGAACTATCCCAGTTCAGCTTGTGAAGCTTTATTGTCCTTTGTTCAGTTGAAGACTTTTTCATTATAAATCTCTCAAATTTTTGTTTCCTCCCATTCAGAGTGATCCATTTAATTAAATAACTGACTTTTTATTTTTATCCCCAAGGCTTTGTTACTATTCCTCAAAAATTTGTTGTCTGTTTGATTCTTCGAATCAGCATTAGAATATAATACTATATGGCATTGCTGCCATGCTGTAGTGGGGAATAAGTGTTCCATTATTGTGTTCTCAGAACATATGCTGTTATGGACAGGAGCACCAAACATTAACTGGTGCTGTTTTTCTGTACTTTTTTAAACCTGAAATGGCTATGGTGTAGATTATTTCATAGCCTCCCTTATAGCTGAAAATTCATCTGTGGTGCAGTGTGACCTTTGAAATGTTGATGGCTGCCTTTATGAAACTCTTCAGGTATTTAATATTGTTCTCCATCTATGTCAATGTAATTCTCTTTTGACACTATTGATTTTATTGCCATTTATTGGTGAGAGCAATCAGGCGATCTGTTGCCCTACCTCAGACAAGTTATTTTTCGAATAGTAAGATATTTGTTATTGACCAGGTGTTCTGCACTCCAAGTTTGGACCTTGATTGATTTGAGGAGCTCTTTTAATTTGAATAACTTGAATTGCTCCTAGAGAAGGGAAGGTTAACAGAAGAAAATAATGATGTTCAAAATTGAAGGGCTTTGATAGAGTTAGCGATGCAAAGCTTTCTGCTGACAGGGAGGAAATTAATCAAAAAAAAGCCCCACAGACTTGAGATATTTTACAAAAGAACAGGAAGTGAGATGAGAATTTGTTTTCACGCAGTGACTTTTGATGATCTGAATTACACTGCCTGAAATGGTGGTGAATCCAAATTTATTATTGATTTTATAAAAGGAATTGGATGTATACCTGAATAGGTAAACACAAAGAAAATGCAGGGCTGTGGGGGATGACACCAATTGGCCTCCACTTTCAAAGCATGGGATTGGCTGAACGACTTCCTCCTGTGCTGTATGTTAATAAAGTTGATATGCTGGAAAGAAAAGGCTTGCTGTCTAAGTTTTCCATCTTAGAATCATCAGGATTCAAGAATATCAAGTTTCAACAGGAGTAGTAATTCATACTTTGAGAAAACTACCAATTAAGATTATCAGTCAGACTTGCAATGTAGCTCACTTGTGCATCCTAGAAGCTACATGTTTTTATATGCAGTGCACTGCCAACAGAAAGAACATTGTGCCTTTTATAAAATTAATAAAACCATTTGGATGATAATTCCTGGTGTACTCTCCATGGCAGTATCTCAACCATTGCCAACTTCAACTTGCCAACCAATCAACGTCCTTCTCTCATGCAGTATAACATCTTCACTTTTAAATTTGGTATTCTTGTGCCTGTCCTGATGAGTTCACAACATTTGAACAGCATATATTTTTCATCAATACTTAAGTTCTGAGCTACCTAGTGATGAGGTGATCATAAAAGTATCACCTTGTGATGAACTGCAGCCATAAATTCGTATTCTCCTAATTTGTAAATTTAATGTTGCAAACCCTTTTTTTGCAATGCTGTTGACCAGAAGTGCTTTGTTGTAATTAATGTGGACAAGGATATGAAATTATACCTCTTCTCCCGTCTTCTTTCATCAAACAACTTATGTGTAAAAATGCAATATAGCTGCTATCCATCAATTGTGAAAGAGGTCATTGAATAATGTGGTAATGATTCCCCAAATGTTGGGGGAGTGGGCACTATTATGGATCAGACCAAAGCCCCTCAAAATATTCAGAAGATAGTCTAGACCTAACATTTCTTACTTTAAAGATAAATGTTGCATTCCAGATGCAATTCGATTGTTCAAACTACTGGATTTAAAGCCAAACACGCTTTTATTCATCCATTATAGTTAAAATACAACAAAAGAATGAATAAATTGGAATAACTACATGGAAAACTTAACAAAATAATAGAAACTCTTAACTCTTACTAATTAACTGTTTCAATTTAGTAACATCCCATAAACCTGCCCTTGGCAAAAGCAAATTCAGTAAACCGATTGTCTCGTATACAATGCCTGCAACAGGAACAGAACCCCAGCTTTTGGCTGTAACAGAGAGAGGGAAAAATAGCTTTCACTTCTTCAGAGCCCAACAGTAAATGCTTAAAACTAAAAGTCCTGGTTCTGTGAGAGCTTGACCATGCCCATTCAGGCTGCTACTTTTGTTCCAACTTGTTTAAATAAAAATCCCAAGGCTTCACAAGCTGTTTACTCTGTTAGAAGGCTGGGTGCCTCTGCCTTAAAACCTCTCGTCAAAAAATAGGGACAAAATACACATCTTAAAGCCACATATCATCACAGATGCTCATTAGTTTCTGGGAGAGCCAGAGTTTTAGCTTTGAGACATTAAATTAAATTTCACGTTGCACTATACTGTGACATGTCAATTTCCACAGCAGTAGATTAACTGGAGCTACTTAACCAAAGAATATCCTGTTTTCTACTGAATGCTGATTCAGCAATTTTTGTACCAATGTCAGTAATATCCACATGCTTCAGCTTATTGAGGCTGTCTTCCACACTGCTCTCACCACATTGGGTGGGTGAAATCCTGGTTGGTTCTGTACTGAATGAAATGGTTTCATTCAGGGGTAGGTAGTAATTGAGATCATTCCAATTGGTTCACATTCCCTGGCTGATGAGAAAATAACTTGGCAGTTCTGCTGCATGGAAGTCGTGATCAGTTGAGAATGAAAAATCTGGTATTTATTAGGTTTGTGGGTAAATGATGCCAAAATATCGAAGCAGTATGGATTGGTACCTTAGTTAGAATCAACACTGTCAATGGAGAATATTGGAAGGGGGAAAAGTGGTATTTAAAAAATATAATTGATGCACCAGAGGATTTTAGTGTGTGAACTGTGAGATGATGATAGATTCATTATATTGTGCTGCAATTCATTGTAATCAATCTTAAGCTGGAGTAGTAGCAGGAGGATTGTACAATAATACTAATATTACAATGCAGTAATGTTTCACTATGTTGTTATTTTACTGCAATTTTAGTTGTGTTGTAAAGACTTCTAGCTAAGTCTACCTACTGTAGCTATTTTGAATAAGGTAACCTGGGATCTGTTCAACTCGGTACCCTACTAGTAGTATATTCAACTGTCACGTTATAATGAATTCTTGATAACTTCATAGATTTAATGACTATTAAAGATGGTTTTTGTTTCCATACAGTGAATCATGTTTCTATAATTGTAACTAAAACATCTTACTTTCCCTGTGTTGTTATCTTCCAGGGATTGGAAAATAATTGATTCCCTGAAGTAAAATAGGTACTTGCCCAATAATGATAACATTCATTTTCTACCCACTGAGTTTTTTTAAATGGATTTTTAGGCTTTTGAATTGAAAATAATTTTTTTTAACTGTAATGAAAAATTCACAAATGCCATCAAAAGAAATCTGAAAATAAAACTGCCTCCTTGTTAAGAGATTAAATCCAACAAGTCAGTGTTGGGTCAGCATAACTTCCACAAATCTGAGATGAAATTTTCTGCATGAATTTTAACTGTTTGCTTTCTTACCAGGTTTTTCCTTTTCCTAACTCTTCTATTTCAAATGGAAGATTTCCCTTGTTCAATGATGTGGATGTGATTTAGCAGATATTACTGCTGACAA